ATCAGTATTTTCCATTACCTATAGATGCATAGGAGACAAATGCCAGTGGTTTAGATGCAAGAATTAGGACATAAAAGTAAAGTACAGTAATTTAACGGTTGCCAATAGCCATTTGTGAAAGGAAAATACAATTGGGCTTTACAAGATGGTACCAAATATACAGAAATACCAAAACCGTGATTGTGGCCAGAAACAGATGGCTAAATCTACCCTGAGGTACTCTGTCATCTTAAGGTATGCAAATGGACTGACTTTTCATGTCTCCCAACTTCATCAATGCAGCATCTGCTTAAGTACGAGTAGGTTTTGCTTATAAGCAGCGTTTGTCAAGCCCTAAGAAGCTGAACCAAAACCAAGTATAGGTGCCTGTTCATAGACCGTGGCTTTTCATTGATTTATACAAGCATGGTCAAGAGCTGTTAATTTTCACACTTCAAAAGAAACAAGACGCAAATTCTTCTTCTTCGCAAATAGGAGGAAGTTAAACAAACAGATACAGCTTAAACACCGCAGTGTCTGAATCCTTGAAAAATAGCACTGCATGCATCCTGGACAGCCAAAGCCTTGGCACAATAATCTCAATATTCACAGGCTGAATGGCCAGCTGTGATGGTGGGTGCAGAAATTTTACTAGCTCGCTTTTCTGCTTTAAGGGCTACTTACTCTAAGGCTGCATAAACAAACCGATCAGTAAACACATTTTTTGTAGTTACTAATGCTTCATTTAGACGTACATTTGGAGGCAAATTTAGACAGTCATTCACCGGCAGAAAGAGTAATCAATCGCATCGCTTCTTGTTTCTTTTGTTTGAAGTGCCTACAGTACAGAAAATTAGGAGAGTAGAGGGCTCTGTTCAGACACCTTAATACACACCAACTTCTCTGTGAAGTCTAGGCATTGGCACTGCACAAGAATTTTTTTTGGTATTGGTGCCTGACTTGCTAGTGGACAGCAAATCAGCCCACTTCAGGGTGAGATTTTACAGTCAGCTTAAGCTACTGCTGAAAGGAACAGCCTGTCTGGTTATGTGGTCCACCTCCTACTCTGCCCCATAGCTACTGCTAACATTTTCGTAACTGTTAGCACTGTGATAAAAGATTTAGGAACATTTGACCAGGGAGGACCAGAACTACCCTTTCAATTGTACATTGCACTGCTGCAATGTAAAACCTTACCACCGGGTACTGGGCAACAGCTTCAAGTTATCTTGACATAGATTGTGTGCATAATACCACAGGAGAGAATGTCAATTAGCTTTCAAGAACAGCAGTATAGTTTTGCACTTTAATTTCCAGCATAAATAAACATAAAAGCAACCAAAGAAATCATCCGTATAGCATAACTGCCTAGAAAATAAACCATTCAGGGAAAAGAAAATCAGCCTCTGCCAGGGAAGAGAATAAATAACCCCTATGGAGATTAAGTATTCTGCTTTCCCATTCAAACCAATATCCTGCATATTGAACAAGCGCTGTCTGATGCACATTCCAGAGACACCTGAGAAATACAGGATGTGAACTTCCATGACATTACCTTCAGAAGTTCGTTCCCTTTCTGCTCCCATTTTGACCTGTTCTTCACCTTCTGTGAAGCTTGTCTCTCAGCTACACTGGTAACAGTTTCTTGTGGTGCCATACCATAAACCAAAATGAAATACAAAGTTTAAAAAGCCTTCAAAAAGGGGCAAGGGGAGGGAGGGAATAATTTAACTTTTGGGCCCCTCACTACAAGATAGACATTGAGGTGCTGGAGCATGTCCAAAGAAGAGCAACAAAGTTGATGAAGGGTCTAGAGCACAAGTCTTAGGAGGAGCAGCTGAGGGAACTGGGCTTGTTTAGCCTGGAGAAAAGGAGGCTCAGGGGAGACCTCATCACTCTCTACAACTGAAAGGAGGTTGTGATGAGGTGGAGGTCTTGCAAGTAACAAGCGATAGGACAAGAGGAGATGGCCTCAAGTTGCACCAGGGGAGGTTTAGATTGGATATTAGGTTCTTCACCGCAAGGGTTGTCAAGCATTGGCACAGGCTTCCATGGAAGTGGTTGAGTCACCATCCCTGGAGGTGCTTAGGGACATGGGTTACTGGTGGACTTGGCAGTGTTAGGTTAATGGATGGACTCGAAGATCTTAAAGGTCTTTTCCAACCTAAATGTTTCTATTCTAACTCAGCCAGCTTCACTGATATTGTCCAACAAGCAAAGAAGTAACAGCTTACTGTCAAAAAGAGGTGAAGGTTCCACTGCCTTCCCTCCCGCCTGACTCCAGTTGCACCATTCAACTCTTACAGCAGCTCCAATACTTCTAAAATCCTTGTTGAGTGTAGTAGCTGGTTTACGTCTCTACTTTTTTGCTGAATTACCTTGGTCAGTTCAACAAGCTCCAGAACCTGCACAGGTAAGGTTTGGAAGGGGAATATGAATGTCCCATTGGCTTTGATGAGCAGTTCTGTCAGCATACTCCATATTGTGAAATTATGCCTGAAATTTCTAGTGTGACTCAAAACAACCGGACCAGCGTAACAGAGAAAACCGTGAGTCACAGCACAGTGACAGAAACAGACATCTATGATACGGGGTGGGAGGGAAGGCAGGAGCAATCACAGTGGCTCTGCTATCAAAGTCAGTGGTGCAAGTGGTACAACTACACCAAGAATCCTTTCATCCAAATTGCCCCAGGCATGTCCCTCGTGTTAGCTATATTTAACATTGCCATTCCTGCTACTCAATTTTAAGTCAGTCAGAAGAGCTCAGAAATTTTGCAATCCAAGCAAACAGCCTGCACTGAGTGAGACACCTGAGCTTATTTAAGTGCTTCTGCAGTCTTAATGGTGGCAAATAGCAGCTGGTTTATACTTGTTTAGAATGCCCCACAGCATATGACTATCGATAGGAAATATTGTAGTTTTTAAAAAAAAAAAAAAAGCTTGCTACTTTCACATAACTCAGATTTTTCCAGTAGCTACAATATTCTGAAGAAAAAATAAAGGAACGGGAAAGATTCTTTAAAAAAGAACGAAAACATAAGTAAAGTGAAGCAAATAATAATGCTAAATAACAATTGCAAAATTTGGCTAAACTCATTCCATTGTAATACCAAACATTCCTTCTAAACAGGATTGAATCCAACATAAGGCATTTGCTAAATTCTTAAGTAAATAAATAAACCATGAGACACTTGACAGTAACTACGGGGAGGGCAGAATCACTGTCTATTTCATTCAACTATTCATAGGAGATGAAGTATATTAATGGGGGGCATGCTTTAACATCCAGCACTATGCATCTTAGCATCTCCCCGCAACACCCTGTATTTCATCATGAAATACTGAATCTGCTGAAATAAATGGCAAGAACTTGTATCACTTCAGCAGCTAATTAAGTGGTCTTCCATAGACGGATTCAGGCCTTCAATACTTTCTTTAGGCCCCACGCCACAAATACTTAAGCAACATATGCCCAGCTTTACTGAGGCAGCAGTGAGACTACTCAATGAAATTCATATGTACTTAGACATTTGCAGGATCAACAATTGATAGTTAACTCCGTATGCCAGTAGTTCTTATTATCAGGTGCTTAGCTTTCTCAGGTTGAATTCTGATTAAAAACACAAGGAGCCATATAGTCTGTATAACTAAGACTATCTATACATGTTTGATGGATAGTTTAGGTATATGCTGTATGTTCTCAAGTTGTGAGAGTACAGTATATTTATTATGTATATGTATGCACAACAAGGCATGGAAGAAAGCCAGAAACCAGTTTGCAAATTAGAACATGGGACAATATACTTGTGATTGGGGTGTACTTTTTTTTTTAATCATACGGAGTAAAAATATTTGAAGTAGCCATTTGTTCCCTCTCCAATGAATTTTTTTTTTTTTTTTAAAGGAGAAAAAAAAAAAGTCAACCACTTCTCATTCTTACTTTTCCTTCTTGAGGTATAAATGACTGTACCTTAACTTCAGAATATATCTTCAGGTGATCCATCTGCAGGAGGTATGATGGTTTTGTTTTATCTTACAAGTCACAGCTTTGACAACACAATGAATCTATGAATTGCAACAAACTTTTATACAACAAAATTCTTGCAGCCCTGAAACCCAACACTCAGTATAACAGACTCACAATTAACTATCTGGAGGAACACACTCAAGATTTCCCATCTTTCTGCCCAACAGTTTCCCCTCTAGCCTTGGAAAATTTGAACAGGTACACACAGTTTACTATTTATCATTCTGCCTATCTAAATCTCCAAAAGACATGTTGACATACTAGTAAAGACTTAATTTAGTCATACTAGTAAACTGGAACACTTTCTTTTCAGTAGAGGCCTGCACTGATTTGGTGTTGCTTTTTATATCTGTATTTTAAAATCAGTATACAGAATGTTATTAGAGCTGTAGAGAGAGAACATAGTTTCATTTTGTGTCTTCACTAATCACTCTGCTGAGTGAGGATCAGTGTAGAACGCAGAGGAGGAATGTTTCAAAAGCTAGTAAGTAAAAAAAGAAAACTGATGTTTACATTGGACTTCGTAACTCCACTCCCTCTCCAGTCTAAGCTAAGTGAAAAAAACATTTTGTACAAAGTCAGGTCAGAACAGTGGATGAAATATCTTATCATAGTTTATACGTAACATGGTCTTTTGAAAGTATTTCAACATGGTGTTTTTCCACTCACTCAAATAAAAGCACCTCCAAAGCATCAAGATCTGATGGGACTTAGCCAGACAGATATTCATCCACAGCAGCTTAGATATTAAGTAGCTGATTTACAAAAAAAAAAAAAAAAAAAAAAGGTTTTTGAATGAGTTATTGTTCCCCAACATTTTCAACCAGCTTAAAGAAAATACAGTAGAACCTCACTGTTTTGCACCTACAGCTGGGAGATTAAGTGTACATCGTTTCACTGTGACCATTTTGCAACATTCAAGTGCTAAGAGTTAAGCCAGGATGATGCATTTCAACATGTGTTCTGTTCACGTCAGTGGAGTGTTGTAATTCCTTTATTTTCTACCCTATAAGTGTACTTGTATTTAATGGAAAATAAGTCAAAACGAGGTAGCACTGCCACCCTCTTCGCTGGAATGTGGACAGATCCTGGCCTAATTTTAAGTGGTGTCTTAGCAAGATTCTACTGTAATCTACACAAAATGTATAAAACACGAACCTTTTCCAGAATAAGGCCACTAATTTTGCCATTGGCAATAGGCAGTGAGAAACAGCAGTTAAAAAAAACCCTCATTTGACTACAGAGGTGTTTTTGAGGCAATAAACTGTGGGGAGAAGTATAAACACATTGTCCTCTCATCCCTTCTCTTTGTTTTCCAGTATAAGTATCTCTGCTTCCTGTATGTACTACTCCTTGGGGGGGAAATTTCAGTCTATTTTCTTGGCTGGGAGTCTAAGCAAGTCCACGCTACATTTAAAGATGGGGACAGCACTGTAAAACAGTAGGATTACAAGCTTCCCATGAGTCATGGTCATGACAGTCTGATGTCCAGATGCCCAGATTCGATACCAGGGCCCATAAAAAGGATCTGAGACGGCTGGGCACAACATGTTGTTCAAATTCACTTCTGTAACCTGAGAAAGTGACAACAAATTTATAAATTAACAGTATTTTTGTGTTGCACTGATTCAGACACCTAAAATGGTAATTTTGAAATTACCATAATAATAAAAAATGTTTAGGTGACAATCCTTTGTTCAACACAAGTAGGGCAGCTTTCAGAAGGAAAGCAGATCCAAATTCAGTTGTGCATTTAATAGATGGATTTTTGCAGGTACATAACCAATTTATGAAATATTTTATCAATACTTGTGAGAGATGAGATACAAATGCCCATTAGAACATGCAATTAGAAATTTGCATGCAAGTAATCTTATCCATATATATCTGAAAAACTTTGAAAAACTAGTCAGTGTTTTCACTTTGAATGTGCTTGCAAACTATCCATTTCTTAACCTATATTTACTTACCAGTCCCAGAATCTGCAAGATGCTAAAATGATATACAAACATAAACCCCGTGGATAAAAGAGCCCACCAGAAATTGCAGAGTGGTTCTGGAGTGTAGATACCTTGAAAAGAAAGGAATACATTAGTATTCGGCTGAATTGCTGTGTCCATCAAACACTCATGAATAATCCTCTCTCTTCTCCTCTGTGGATGTTAGGGCATCTGGCTTTAGCTGATAACCTACTCAATACCATTATAGTAATTAATATTTGAGAGCCTTATTACTTACCTGGAGCATCCTGATCAGTTTCTTCCCTCCTTCTGGTCCAGCAGTAAAACGTACAATACATTACCTCATTAAGCTTGCCTATTTTTCACCAACACCAGTGATTTTTACCTCATTCATTCTTCTGCCACAGAAGTACTAAATGATTTTAAAATACAGTAATGGTATACAATGAATCTTCAAAAATCAGGTTATTTATACTTAAAACACCTGCTTCTTACGGGGGTATGACTTCAGCATGCACAGAACTAACCTAGGTAGTGGCAGTTACTGCACAGCACTGTCTTAGAGCATAGCCTAATTGCCATTTCCTGATTTTATGGTTGTTTAACAACTATTAAAAAGTAACTTGCACCAATAATGTCTAGGAACAGAAAAGCTGTATAACATAGTCAATCCATTAATGACAGGCTGCGCTTTTAAATGAAAACAGCTGTGGAGGTATTGTCAGATATACACTACAAACAATTTTATAATCAGTAGATATCACAGATACTATAAAGTATTTTTTTCCCTTCAAATGAAGTAGCAGATACCACATTATTCCTGGGTTCACCCTTCTCTCTCCTCCTGAAACCAGGTTTTGTCAATTTACTGACAAAACACAGTGTCACGTGATCTAGAATGTACCAAGGAAGTCAGATCTAATAAAAGTACCCTTAGATACAAGACTTTTTTTGGAATTAAATTTTCAAACATCATATGGTGAGAACAAAAACAGTTTACAGAGTTCTCAAGACTCTTACTAGCAGACGTGAAAATTTCCGTGTAAGATATGGGGAAAAATATTATTTTCCTTACGACTTTAATAATTTAACCTAGCGACACAAAAGAAAAAGATGCACAATGTCATGCTGCTCAGCTGCTATAAGAAGTTGTAGAGTTTCAGATGATTATAAAAATACACTGGCATTTTTTATCTGCCTTTGTGTGCTCTCTGATCCACTAGATATTATTAAATATTGGAACATATATCCAGTACTCAAAGGATAGCTTACAGCACAGACTGCAATATTCATATTAGCCTTTGCTAGCTAGCACATTCAGTAATTACCAGGAAGATTCAACAGATTTCAGCATATACTGTACAAGGCTACTGGGAACTCAAATAACTACACATGCGTAGCTAGCTATGACAGAACTCACCAGACTAAAGCTGGTATGAGTACGCCTATGTATGGTATCATATATAGATAAAGGCAAATAACTGCTGTTACTTGCTTTACCACACCACCATATAATGGTGCATCCTGTCTCAGGTTAAAATCCCTAGAGGACTGCTTTCTCAATCCCTGTTGCCCTTTTACAATTCTTTTCTGCATAGTTTTCTTCCATAGTTTGTGCCCATCATGCCAGTTCAGATTGATTTTACAGTAGCTACCTGAAATAATCTAATTTAAATATCATTTTGTGAATGTTACAAATTCAAAATTACCTACATTTTATTGTCTAAAACTGTACATCTGTTCATTGTCCACTCAAAATAATATAGCTTCTCTGTTGCTAGTCAACAGAGAGTAAGGAGTTGATTGTATGCTTGAATGACAGCAGCACATATGCACCCCATATATCACCCACTGATTTTAATGAGTAACAATATTAGTGTAATTACCCAAGATACAACTGCACACCATGTTTTAGTAAGCAAGCTGTGACTTGGTGCAACCATGATAAATATGAGCAGAGAAGCTTCTTTGAAAGCATAAGGCAGCTGGTAAGATTTCTTATCCAATGGGTAGGTGAAGCTCAGAAGAAGCAAAATCCAAAGGTAAAAGTGAACTCTACATGAATAACTTTAAGTGGAGTGCTCTACAGGTAAAGGGAAAAAATTCAGAACAGTCTAACTCTTTGAACATACTTAGCAAGCATGATCTAAGAGCTGGTATCCTATTTAGAAAACGGGACTTTTTTTTTTTTTTTTTAAATAGTAATGTTACTCATTAAACTCCACTGTCTGAAAACATCAGATACGTGACACCACCTTGAATATGGTTTTTCATTACAGAGAGCAAGAGAAGAAGCAACTAGCCTTGGTGTCAGAGTTCAGGAGACCATGGCTCTGTTTTTGGCTGCACCAACTTTAAGTGACCTGGTCAAGCTATACAGAAACTCTTTGTGCTCCCTTCTCAGCTGTAGGGTAAAGAAAACCCAATCATTTGACTTGCAAAGTTTTTTTGTATTGCCTTTGCAGTTTTAGGTGCACGTTTAACCTAAACGGAAAACACAAAATAAAATTTAATAAGGTATCTAAAACAGCTCCCAGGAACTGGCAGAGTAGTGCTATATCAAATTTGGTTTCACGTGAACTCTCCTCGTTGGCAGTTGCCTGTGTTATTTCACAAGTATTCTACAAAGCCTGAGAACAGATGGTAGTAGCCTAAAGAGGTAAACACTCAGAAAAGCTAGAATCCAGAGACCTTGATGTTTGGGGGACTTACAGTGCAGGTAGTATATAAACACTAAAATAGACAAGTGAACCCCGCTATGAAACAAGACTGGAAGAAGAAAGCAGTCATTAAAAGACTAAGGAAATTGCACAAGATGACAAAACAGATCAGTGACATAATTTGGCTTTGAACCCAAGCTTCTCATGCCCAGCTTCAATCTAGTCAGGGAATCATGTTTCAGAAGTCACTTAGGAGAGTGGAGTTCAGGTTCCTCCAGCAAAGAATTTCACACTGCTACATCCTCTCTCTGTTGCAAAACTTCAAAAAATACACGAGCAACTCTCACCCTCTACAGACTTTTGATCTCGCTATGTAATAGAAAAATCTCTCCTTGCTAGACTTTGCAATTCTGAAAATAATAGTGTGATTTTCAGCAATATCATTATTTGGACATCAAGGGACAGAAAGGAAACAATGACTTCCACACGAAAACATTTCAGAGAGCTCTGGATTCCCAAGTGTGCTTTGGGAAACTAATTTTAAATTCATACCTAGGATATTTTCTGTATGTTTCCATTAGATAAATAATCACTATAGATTTTATTACTCTACGGTCCTGCTATTCAACAGATGACTGTTTAATGGAGCAATGTGGTCTATTTTCTGTAGTACACAGTCTGTTAACAGAAACATACAAACAGGAAAATTGAGACCCAGCTGAGTGGTTGGTTGAATGGCCTGTGTTGGCTTTGGCAAAAGCTACTGGCTGCTTCCATAGGAGATCAATTTCAATAGGCAGCAGTGAGTTTCACTCTCTATTCACTAAAGATCACAGGCAATTCTTATATGTTAAGCACTTTCAAAAATTTAATCCAACTGGCACTAATCTCATTCTCAAAAGTGCTCACGCCCCGGACAGTTGAGACCGTTGCAAATCAGGGTCATCCAAGTAGGTTGTATATTTGCTCTTGTGTTGAAATAGCATGGCAGTGGATATTTCAGTTTAAATTAAACTTCATTATTTCAATAGCATTGATAGGAAGGATTTCACATAGATTCAAGAGTTTGGGGTTCATCATCTGCTTCTGCAACAAGAATTTGTTGACCTTGAACATGCCAACTGGTTAATTTTGCCATCTAGGAAATGGAAGCATGGCTTTAAAAATCTAAAGATCAAAGAGACTCATTTTCTTTCATACTGCTTCCCCCACTCAATGTCTTGTGCTAGTTCTAGTGTTCTTATGAACTATTATTTTTATTTAAAGTTCTCAAAACATAGGCTTGTAAAAATTTGAATGCAACTTAATAGAAAGTAATACTCCTTTTGTATGTCTGTGAAAACATAATGTAGGAGAAAATTACTCCTCTGTTTGAATTAGAACCTAAATATAGCATTTTTTTTAAATTTAGTAGGGTGTTAATAATCTCTTTTTCCTAATTAATGTCTTGCTTTCATTCCCACTACATTTGATAGAGCTTTACCAGTTTTCCAGCCTAGCACACTCTCCTTCAGTAGTCTCACAATTACAGGTAGACCTGCTTAATCCAAAACTCGAAGCAACTATTACAATTCCTTCATTTTCAAGCTTATAAAAATATGAGGACAAATTTATTTCCATTTCACTTCCCTTGATCAAGGGGTTAATTCTAGTAGTGTGGCCTATTGAGTTAGCCTAGAGACCAAACTTCCTTTCCAGGGGAAAACAGGAAAAATATTCTCAAGAGGATGAGCCTGAAATCCACCGTTTCCCCTACAGCTGTTCTGAATCTATGTGTAGGTTTCAAAATACTATCTTATGCCAGGAGATTTCTATTTCCCCGAATGCCAGCTACTGTCATCAGAATTGGCTCACACAGGGGTCTTACATTACCTGCTCCTCTCAGGAACCATTTTTTATGTTACATAAAGAAGCAGCAGTATAGTAGTAGTTCTTCCATATACTGGTACATACCCTTCTAAACTTCTCTATCTCCTACAGAGAGGGAGACGTCTTAACAGACTTTGGGCCCACTCAGAGAATGCCACATTAACTTCCTTATTTAGTTCTAAGTGTTTCATAATAGGCCACCATAGTTTCAAAGGAACCCTAACTGCCCAGTGCATAATGCTCAGAAGGTCACAAGACAGAGACACATCCCCTCCTCTTCCTTTCCAGCTCTCTTAAATCATCAAACAAGATTATCCTGAAATCCTGAAACAAGAGAGACTGCAGCATGAGCCTGCAGCCAGAGCAACCGCACACACCTCCAGTTGCTGAACAGTGCCGCAGCTACCCTGCTCTCGAGGTGCCATAGAACAAGCTGGACAGTGAACCAAGCATTTACGTCTAATACATGGGATTCAGGAGGTAGAGAAAAGCTGGAATAGGAACACGGAAGCTGCCAGCAGGAGAGTAGGAGAATAATACACAAGAGTTGACAGGTCTCCAAGTAATTAAGAGTTTCAGTGAAAGAGCTGTACCGCATATTATCAAGTATTTCAATGAGGATGGAGATAAACTAGATTTATGACTACCTAACTATATTCAAATATATAGTGATTTTTTTTCCTGGGTCACTACTAAGGTATATAATAAAGCCTGCTTTATAACTCCATTTAAAAGCTAAGGAAAGATATTGCTAAATACAGGTAAGTGTCACAAAGTGGGGAAGCAGCTGAGAAAGGGTACAACAGCTAGAAATGTCTTTAAATATGGTAATCTCTCACTCTTGCCAGCAAGTCCTAACAGCCAATGGAAAGCACAAGTTTAGATCCCCAATTGCTTTAATTGCACTTTCCTAGTTTACAGCCACAGGAAAAATGATCCTTTCATCTGTACTTGCTATCTATATTCTACATCTTACAACTTAGCCTAGCTTCTCATTAGGTAAGAAACACTGCACTACCCTTAAGAAAGCTGGCTATACAGAGCTGCTTCTGTCCATCTGAAGTGCGACAGGGGCATGCTCCATGAGAGGGGAAAAAAGAAAAAAAAAAAAATTATCAACTTCTACTGACCTTCTGACAATGCTATAGAACTTAATCTCTTCTGATGCCACTTTTGAAGACACTTAGATTAAAAAATGAAAAGGGCTTTATGACTTGAGTCAGAGAGACAGTTTCTTTATTGCTTATAAAGATACAGCATTTGCCTTTTAAGCCAAAAACTCTGACTCTACTCCCAGCAAACAACTCACCTACTTAACTATTTAGGGTGTATATGTCTGTCCACTTGTGCACAGCCGTACAACAGTGAATCAGCTCTTAAAATACATGGGATCGCAGGACTGTCCAGAATTTGCAAGGCCATTACTGTCAGTTTTGGCTCCAAAAGAAGATTTTCCCCCGAAAAAAAAATACAACCAAATCAATTTACTCTCTCCACAGTGTGGACAACCTGCATTTGAATTGTGAATTTTGAGAATTTGCATAGCCATTTTGACAGAGTGGATGCTGGAGACCATCTCCCCCTGCAGGCTAAAGTGTCAAAACCACACAACCGTTCAGCGGTACCAATACAAAGGTCTCTAAGCATACACGATATCCTGGAACTTCAGGTACTGTTCATACATCAGATTGCTCCTTAAAGTGACAAAATCCTAAAAAAACCTCAACACCAACATCCTTTTCTACTTCATTAAGTTATTAAGTCAACTAAATAATGCTGGGGATCTCAAAACACAAGAAAGATTATCCCCTGAACTCCATTGCTAGGGAGGTGCTATAAATTAACCCTTATTTCAAACTGTTGTGGAATGATATCATTTGCTCACAGCACTCAGGAAATAACAATTCCACTTTTTCAATATGATTCCACAATTCCACAAATTTCAATATGATTTGAAGCTCTGAAATAAGGTGCACATCTAATCTTGTCAAATCCATCCAAAAATCTGACCAAACTAGCTTAAGGACCGAGACAGTCAAGGACTGTGAGTCTCTAAGGCTGATGCAGTGCAAACTAGATTTTTTTTCATTATGTTAAGAGTATAGTTAGAAAAACTAAGTTGTCCTGAACACCACTGAAGGTCTCTAATACCTTGATCTTAGGAGGTCAGATTAATGCACTGTTGAAATAGTTGTGGCAAGTTTGAGACATTACACTTCCTCAGCTGCCATCTCCCTAAGCCTTCTATCAGCAATCTGTATCCCAGTAGCATAAAGTGTAATTATCTGAGCATACTCATATGCTTCAGAAGACCAGCTTAGTTGTAGATGAAAGTGGTTTGAGGAGTTTTTCAATGAAGGGGTTGGTTCCATGATCTAAATCTGCGCTGCTGTGGTTCCTGTCTTCTTCCTTCCACCTTGACAATTCATTCATTGCACCTCCCTTTTGCCAATCCTAGCACTCAGATGACGCAACAGTAAACCAATCCAGAAGCTACAAAAGCATTCATACTTTCTCTGACAAGGAAGCAAGGGTCTCACCTCCTAAGGACAAGAGAAAACAGTGACCTACAGCTCTGGTTCAGCCTATCCAGCTATTTCAGGAATGCTGCGTCCTGCCCAGATGCATACTATAATTTTTGGCAGGGTTCACAGGTGATACAAGGTGAGATTCATTTAGCAACAAAGGTGCCAACTGCAGATATACTTCATGTAAGAACTGCCTTGAGTTAGTAATCTTCTATGCCGGCCTGTTATATCTGCACTACATCTATTTTGCATGAGAGCCTCTTATTGCAGCCAAGAAAGATCTGAGCAATAGTGCATAAGCATTTATTTTGCCTAGCCTGGCATGCATATGTATGTATACATGCGTATGTGCACTTGGAAAGAAAATATGTTAGAATGGGAAGTACGGAAATTTATATTCACTCAGTACAGAGGGGAGGGAGAGGGAAGAGGAAGAGAGAAAGAGGTCTTAATCCCCAACAGGAAATACATCCTTGAGCTTCAGTGAGTTCACTGTGCAACACTGAAGCCTGAGTTCTGAACATCTCTCTCGTCAACTTGATCCTAAACATGGTAAAGCCCCCACACTTACATGGGGGGTGACGATGACATGAAGGCGATGCTGCCAGTGCAACATGACCTGTTGTCACCACTGCAACGAACAGCAGGGAGAGAAAGAACATAAATGATTACAGCCCTTGCTTACTGTCACCCAGTTTCCTTTTAAAAAGGAAACACTTCAACAGGTAATTGAGTATGTGCGCATGACTGCTATGATACTTGATCAGCATGTCAACAAACTTGGACATGCAGTTCTGTATAGAATGAGCCTCAAATCAACTCTGCTTCAGGTGTTCTGCTCAACCTTCCTTTGAGAAATGTTAATATTACAATTGAGATCCTATTAAGGCCATCAGTAATATTGGCAGATTCCCAATAAAACTGAAGTAGTATATTTTTCCATATACAATCCATTCTTTTTCATTTTTCCAATCTGACTACCCTTCAATTACTTCTCCCAATCATAATCCATAGATTCACTGATGGAAATTTCTACTTAAAATACAGAAACAAAGCTGCATGCTGATCAACATCACTGATGAAAAACCAATTTTCACAAGATATAGTTAGGATAGAGGGTATGATCTACTCAGAAAGTACTTTAAAAGAAAGGTGCTAGTGAAATGACAAAATATTAATAAATGTTTTCAGGCTAAGTAATTTTTCCATCAAAAATCATACATTAGGTCTCCTGTGGCACTAGCTATAACTACTACAAAAGTCCATGGGTGTTTTACTAACGAGGTATTACAGTCAGTCAGGTGATCAGGAGGCAACGGCATAAGAAAATGAAGTTATTAGTTACACAGCCTAGGGCAATCTCAATTGATATATTTAGACAACAAAGTTTTTAGAAATTTCACTGCTGTCACGTCAACATTAGATGGCAGCAAATACCTGTAAATTAATAAAGGGCAAAAATTTAGAAAACTGCACTAGGGTGACAACTGTACAACACAAAGCCCTTCAAACTGCAGATATAGTCCTATCAGCCCCAGAAAACAGGTGCTGAAGAACCCAGAAAACCTTTACTTCAAAACAAACAAAAAACCAAACCAAACCAAACCAGCCAAACAAACAAAAATTAAAGGAACACATCAAGTGACATCCAAGACCAAACTTTAAGGCAAAAGAAATACATGTCTTAAAATGATGTTATATGGGAACTTCAAGGCCATCAAAATAAGTGATTTAGTGACATCACAAGAGCTTGGTTTGTCATTGCTTACAGTGTACCACATGGCTGTTTACACTTTCTCCCCCCACTCCCCCCACCCCCCGCAATGATTAGGAGTTTGTGTAACTTCTACAACCGTACTGCACTCTAGCATTACTTGCCAGAATTTTAAGATATCAAAGACGGATTAAAATTAAATGTGGCTGGCATATTTCTCTGGTAAGAGAAAGAAACAGAATGATCGTTTGAAGTATGACACTTCACTTTTTCCTTTGGATCATTTTTATTTAGTTTCACTCAGCAGTGAAAAACAAAAAAGTTACAGAGCCATAGTGAAATGAGTGTGAAGAATTATAAGTGACTGCTGGTATAAAATACAAAAGATTCACCAGAATGGAAGAGGCTGACTGTGCTTTTTCTGAGCATTTGCTAAATTGTATCCCATTGCTTGACATCACATTCTCGGGGTTTTCATTAAAGGCTACTGAACATCTGGACCATAAATTATCATCTTTTATTTCCTGAATGGAACAGTTTAGCTCTGCTAGAAAATGCAGCTGGAGGCGTGTCAACGCTAGAGGGGGGCAGAGCATCACACCAGATGAATACATACTGCATTCCCGTCTAAGGAGCGACAATTCGAAAAATCACTGGCCGGTGGAACAATTTGGGATTCCCAGACTTACTGAACTATTATGGTATATGCAAGATAGTAATCTTCTTAGAAGAGATAACAAGCAGGCTAGTTCATTTCACTATTATGTGTCACTACATTTCATTAGAGCTTCAGAATTTCAGGAATTTACCTAACTAGCCGATTAATATTTACATTCGGATATAATAATAATTTTTTTTTCAGCTCATTTTAAGTTGCAATACTTCTCAAGAGACATCCAAGAAGGCAAAAGTCTTAAAAATACACCCCATCAACCACTTAGAATGTTGCAAGATGGCAGAGATGCTACTCAAGAAGACAGTGCACGTTATGCCAATACATTCTTGATATCCCTTTGGGCAAAAGACCATTTTTTTAATACCCATTTCACTGCCTGAAGTCTTTGTTACCCAGTTACAAGTCCAACAAGTCTTTGTTACCCGGTTACAACTCCAACATAACATCACAAACTTTTAAGTAACAACATAAAGAAAATTGGTAAAAAAGAGCAAGAGTAAAGCCTGTGGTAACCATTAAGCACAGCTTTTTCATTGCATGGGACTAATTCAATACGTATCGAGTAAATTGCCAACCTACCTCCTTTTCGCAGCAGATAGATGGGCACAACATAAAGCATCACATGCTGGATGTAATAGATTTCCATTTCAAATGGAAGCTGTGGAATAAGGAAAATATTTGTAAATGTTTTTCATCACTAACAACTGAGTTACAAGGAACCATTCTCCTTATGACCCATGACAATCCCTTCAGTTCAGTTATTTTATCACTTATGTATATTAACAAAGAGATGACATTAATGGTCAGTGCTTTGAAAGTGCAGCTAACTGTACCCACTCCATTCCCCTTGCCACAAACGCAAAGCAGCACTTCCAGTAGACAATTCTCAAAATTAGCCAGAAGCACAACAAAGAAGGAATAACACAGGATTGCTCTTTTCCCTTTCTTAGTTAGCATAAATTACCAATAACAATGCAAAAACCTAAAGTAAACAAACCAGAAACTATACACACCCCATATGACAGTAGCCTACTTAGAAAGAAAATTGCTACCTTGCGAGTGATAGAACTCTATAAATGAGGTCTTTTATATATAAAAGTATATAAATAAATATATA